TTGTCCCAAGAGTGACCAACATCAATTTTCTCCTAACAATAAATAATACACAATCAAGAGAATAGGTTGTGAGAACTGATGAAATAATCACCTGAGGAAAAATTGCATTTGTCTTTTATCAAATTCTCTTAACTCATTCCTTATGGAAATGTATAGAGGCCAGTTTGGAGAATTTGTATGTGGATATTGGGACTTAACGGGTTAACGCAGGTTAACTTTATCAATGATCGTCGAGACGGATAATGCATCTATGGCCGTTTTTATACTAAGGACGCATTATCCGTCTGGACGAACTTGGGCAAACATTTGTAGTTCGTCTGGTAATGCGTTTCAAGTATAAAGACGGGCACAAGACGCATTATGCGTTTGGACGAACTTTCCTTCCAAATACGTCTTGAACGACGCACTACGAAAGCTGGTTCGTCTGGACGCATAATGCGTCTTATGCATGTCTTTATACTGGAGACGCATAACCAGGACGAACTACAGATTGTTTGCCCAAATTCGTCCGGACGGATAATGCGTCTTAGTATAAAAACGGTCAATCAGTCGATCATCTACGCCTACGTGTTTTGGCTTTACCATGCACGCAAGCACAACAGCTTACTGTACTTCTTTTGCTCCAAGTTCAGTTTGTCTTTCTTAACACAACTGAGTTCGAAATTACTGTACTTCTTTCCCTCCAAGCAGTTCAGTTTTTCGTTCTTAACACAGTTGAGTTTAAACTTTGAAGAAGTCCACTCGTTTTTTTATTCAGTACTTATACGTGGTCAAATTTTGTCAGTCACTCGTAGGCAAGAGTGATGAGCGACTCAAGCGAGCGAAAAAAAAAAAGTATCGCGCGAGATTGAATGACTTTGTAAAAGTCTAAACTAAGTCCGGCCGCTGATGAAAGTTAACCTGCTTAAACGCTTTTAACAAGGTTACGTTCTGAATAATTTTTTACCGGGTTTTTCAAAAACTAACTCGGTTAACTTGCCAAGTGCGGCCACAGCCAATATCCTGAAATGTGAACACTCGTACCCTTCGACATCTTCAATTATTGATCTAGTGAAAAACTTTTAACATTGTTCATACCACAATAACCTTGTTAATTTAGTTCTTTATCAGCTGTAACTTCTCGTATCTCGCACTATATAATTATATAAGTGTAACTTCATGTTATCTCTCGTATTTTTGCGTGTATCTTGAGTTCTTTGTTAGCTGTGACGCCCTTATTGTAGCATTATCCCTTGACAGCATTTATTTCTTTTATCAACACTGGAGGCTTGGTAACCACTGATGACAACGACCGTTTAAGAAAGGGAAACACGCATCTCAAGACGTTTCCCAGCGTTATCGTGTTTCGAACATGACCTTTCATAGGTATACTGCTATCGGCAGAGGAACCTCAAATACACCTTCAATAGACCTCTTTAGCTTTTTTTGTTATCCCAATGAAGGTCCTACGCCGTGATACACGGCAGTGGTACGACTTGGTTAAAAACGTCGTGCTACTTCGTGCTTAAGTCGATCCATTGAGTTCGGAATACTCAGCTTGGTGGAGTCGCGAGAATTTACGTAAGAGCCGCACGCGAAAGGAGACGCTCGCAGGCTAAGTTCTGTACGGCAGAAGCACGTACGATGTTTGAAACAGGGCTCAGGGGAATTTGCTTCATTTTCTTTTCACAAATTATGCGTACATGTGCACGTGAATAAGACCAAATTTGAAAAAAAAAAACAGTTCTCTAGAGTATTATCACATGACCGAAATTGGGAAGACAAAACATAAAAGCTAAAGAGGTCTATTCTAAGCGCACACGAGGGAATATGAGTATAGCTGATCAGGAGCCTGGGCTAATTCGTCGCCAATGGCTTCTTATCAGTTAGACTCCAGGATTTAGTCGCGGCTGTTGAGCTGGTCGCGGGGGACTCGTACCTCAGCCAAATTAGGAGCTTCATTGGAATCATGTCCTCCAGGTGCCCATAACCCGGAGTGAGCAATTGCCATGTGCTCGTGTAACGGTGTTTTCACTGACCAGTTTATTTTTAGAACGATTTTGGCGCGAATTAAGAATATCTTTCAGGTCCCACAAACCAATCACCAAAACTAAAACCGCTAAAAATGGCATTTTTAACCTATTATTGACGTTTGGTTTTCCTTTATCACTTCTTATATTTATAATGCGCTCATGAACGGAACGGAGCTTCCATTTTCGCGATAGAGAGTACTGTAAAATGCATCTAAAATTAAACCGATTCGTAAAACGCCGTGACAGAGGCCTAGTATGAAAGTTGCACGCTCCAGTTGATGGGTTCATGTGTCCTCCCCGTTTGTGATCTTTATATGTCTTTCGTGGCAGGGATGGCGTTCTTTTCCCTAAAACAAAGCCTGATCACAGTTTACACGCCCTCCAGCCTTGGTGTTATAACAATATATGACGTTAAACTGAAGGTTATAAATTCGCCACTTAGGAAGCGAAAAGGAAACTGGAGAAAACCTTCGCAAAGATTCCTGGGACTGTTGTTAGGGTCAGGGAAAAAATAGCTAATAGCTGATAGGCCGTTCCCTAGTAACCATCCCAGAAACAATTGCGGGATGCATATCGGTTCCAGTTCCTTTCTCTTTTCTCAAGTGAGAAATGAATCAGAAATGGATACAAAACAGTGGTTACCAGTCTCCTGTAGGCCCTATACCGGAAAAAAGCTAAAGTTGCCTCTTTTCCAAAGGAGGATGAGTGCAAAAATACGTGTTATTCTCACGGTCAGTAAAACTCAATTTCTACATGTACGGTTTTGCATTGACCTCGTTTTGAAAGTGAGAATTTTTGGAAATGGCCTCCTCTCCTGTTTACATCTGAAATATGCGTGGATGAGATTCATGCGCTTCATGATGGACGTCTGATGCTCGCCTAAACGCAGGCAAGCGTGAATTCATTTAGAAATTACTAGGGTCCAAAGTCCAAGTAAAGTGCATTTCTGGACCAATTAAATTAGATAAGTAGAGGTTTTTGCTATAACAACAGAAATCACAACTAGCTTTTCTGTTTTTAAAAAAGTCGTCAGTTTTTTCATCTCCTAACATTGTCTTGTGTGTGATGCTCGTAAGGTAGATCAGCTCTGATTAGGGTATAGAGGCGGTTTTCAATCACCTTTGCGTTGTATTGAAGAGAATTAAGTCCATCAGAATCCATCCGTTTTAAAGCATCACCTACTCTCCTCAGCCTGATAGAAAACAGAAAAAAAAACTCTGCTATGGTGAAAAATCTGACAGGTTTTCATTCTTTCTGGGTGTTGTGTAGTGAATCAAGCTACGCGGTTGTTGTGACTCTAAGAAGTGAGTCAACCAAAAAATGAGAGGCAGCTAGAAAAAAAAATAAGGAAACTGGGCCGAGTTATCTTTTGCGCAAAGACGCTGGGACTTTTTCTAGGTGAAGGGGAAAATTTGGCCAATAGCTGACCAGCGCGTCCCCTGTAACAATCCCAGAACCAATTGCGGGACGCATGCCTGTTCCAGACGTTCAGATCGTGGGAAGCGCAAAGAGAAAAAGCGAGGGTAAGGGGGTTGGGGGTAGGGAGAGGGAGAGAGAGAACCTTTACTTTCTCCCAATCCCTCTCTTACGTTTTTTTCTCTCCTTTCCATTTCGCGCCAGAAATACCTGAACGTCTAAAACAAGCCACGGAACGCCACGTGTGAGCGGACTGTTGTAGAACGTTACCGTAAATTTACTGGAGGCCTCTCTCCCACTGTGTGATGTTCTGTTATCATTTTGTATCTTCCTATTTCTACGGCCGGACGCGTTAACTTCAGTCCTTTCCTGGTTACCCTAATCAAAATAACAACAATAAGTTTACTGTCAGGGACGTGGCTAAAACCGCCCTACGTAGACAGGCAGGACCTACCGCTCTGGTTGCATCTTGCGGGGGCTTTTTGTACTACCCTACCTACCGTCATCTCCTGTCATAGTCTAAGAGCCTGTTTACAAGGAGGTGGGGGACCCCAGGTAGGTGAGGTAACACGCTTAGGTGGGGTAACCCGCCCGTCCATATAATCTCTCATATGGTCACCCCACCTGTTATGTAAACGTGATCAAATTAAAATGAGAGATCACTTTCAGAGGTTACCTCACACCCGTTTTCGTGATTGCTCTTTCTCAATTCAGCGGACCCGACTATCTCGGAGCCTGGAACAGGCTAGTCAAGCTATTAAAATAACAACTCTGGGCCCGGTTCCTAAAAGGCCGATGAGGGCTAATCTAGGATTAAAATTTCGTTCCCTCTTTTTGTATTTACCTTCCTTTGCACTGCTTATAGTAACATTTTATGTTATAATTACTGTATCTCAGAATAAAGGCTCAAGAATATTTTGGAAGTTTGAGTTACATGTTCTTAGACAAGAAAACCCTGCTTAAAATTTGGCTTAATCTTGGGTTTAACTTAACTATCTTTTGCGAAACCAGGCCCTAAATATTAAAAAGCCATAACCATGCTAGTTACCTCTGGACATTTGAACCCAACTGAAAGTACCGAACAGTGTAACAAATGTAACGTTTGCCAAGATTGATGAAGTGGCTATGGGCGAAACGTTTCTTCTGAAACTGAGCTTAGCGCGCGCACACATGACTTTGCACTTCTTCGAACACTGCAAATGTCGCGCACTCAAAAGATTCGACTTTATCTCAGTTTCCTGGCGGATAACTTTGGTTAACAAATGTCCCATACATCTGCTGTGAATGTGTTGGGATTCAGGTGTGTAGTGGAAGCAAAATTATATTTGTCAAGAGCCGATTAGTATTTGTTAATAAATGATAATTGTAGACCGGCACATGTATCTTCCAATCAATGAAAAGAGTTTGTTATACCATACAGCTACATTATTTTAGGTTTCTGGGAAACGCCCACCTGCCCCTCCCCTAAGCCATCATTTTGCCCTAGGTGGGAAGTAAGTGTTAATGTTAGCTTAGGGGAGGGGTAGGTGGGCAGTTTCCCAGAAACCTAAATTGATCCCATTATTAATAAACTTACCTGAAGTAGAGGTTGTCGTCCTCTCCACCCCACCCCCAAAATATGTTCGAAAAGCCATTGATGAGTTCAAAGTGTTCCCGTGAAAGCGCCTCTACTCCTCCAAAGAAATGCCAATACGGTAAACTGTAGATAAATAATAAATAATGATAAAAATGGTGACTTTGACGTTCGGCGATGAAATAAGAAAGATTACTGTGTGTCTCGGGACGAGCAAGGGATAGAAAACGAAGGCTTACAGACCAGGGGTAGGAGGGCAGTTTCCTAGAATCTTTTACTGATTCGTGTAGCTTTAGAAGGTCTACTTTCCCCTCCCCAAACCCAACCTGATTTTGGCCGAAGTGAGAAAGCGAGTGTTGCGTTACGGGAGGGGGTGGGGGTGCAGATTCCTAGAATCTTTAATATGCTGATCAACATAGCTTTAAAAGCTCCCCTCCCCAAACCCAACATTTTGGCCTAAGTGGGAAAGTAAGTGTTAACGTTGAGTTAGGGGAGGGCTAGGTGATGGGCAGTTCCACCCACAATCTTATACTGATTCACATATAATATATTCTTTGTTTGTGTCCTCTCCTGATATACATACGCTGAGCATTTTCATTGAGTACGCGTCAATTTGAAAAAGAAAAAAAGAATACGCATACATAGCGTATTAGTGCAGACGGTCGAAACGCCTCAAAACGAAAACGATGACTAAAAAGTATCGCGGGTGCATGCGCATAGAGTTCAGCTTACGTCACAACGTGCAATTCTATCGTTTTCCAACGTTTTGATGCATTTGAACAGTCGAAAAGGCATCAAAACGGTAGTGTAGGCGTCAAACGATCGATGCGTTTTCGATGATAGCGAAAACGCTTATTTTTGAAAATGCATTAGTGTGGACAGGCCCTAAATACTTACCGATAGTGAAATTTATCCATGGCGTTTGACATATGTCTCGGTGATGAATTGCAGTTATACTTATTCCGATAATCTTCTGGCAACAGGTCCACATCGTGAAAAATGAAGCACTTGTACTCGTCAAACTTAAGTGCTTCCTTGAAGCCAACGTTAAACAGCATGGCACGGTTGAACGGAGCATCTCCTGACTGTTTCATGAAAAAGTAATTGTGACGATTTTAAAGACAACTTCTCAGCAGAATTGTCCACAAGGTAGCACTAGCTACGGAGTCTGGAGAGGGAATGATATTGTCGTGGCTGATTCCCTATTCTCCTCCTTTTATCTTAGACCAGAAATGGGTCGAACTTAATTTGTTTCCGCCAGCCATGAATGGGTGGTCTGCCCTTACGTCTAGCGTCATTTGTACCTTGAGGTAGGCAAGCTCCAGTGACAGTAAATTGCGTCTACGGACTTTTGTATTTAAGAACAAAATCCTAGCAGACAAAATTCACGCCACTTAACAGTTTGGCCCATGAATACAGTAGACTCTCTCTTAACAGACACCTCTATAAGACGGACACCTCTGTAAAACGGACACCTAGAGTTGGTCTCTGCCTTTCTTTGCTCCTCTTATTTTTAGTGACTCTATAAAAGGGACATCTCTACAGTCAACTCTTTCTAGGGTGAACAACTTTGGGACCAACTCTAGGTGTCCGTTTTACAGAGGTGTCCGTCTTATAGACTAAAATATATGAGTAAAAAAAGGCAGGGACCAACTCTAGGTGTCCGTTTTACAGTCTGAGGTGTCCGTTAAGAGAGAGTCGAGTGTAAGGCGGCACTTTGTGCCGATCCCAAAAGTGTCCGTCTCAGAGAGAGTTGACTGTAAATCGTCTCTCGCAAAGTAGTGAGTTTACGCAACAGGACGGTAAAACGCTTGAGTGTGACAAACGTGACGGGCCTATTGCGTGTTTTGTCGGGAATTCACTTTTTCAATTCAATTCACATTGTTGTTTGAAGCTCTTCTACAAAAAGATCTGCTTAAAGGAATGTGAAGTTTGGCGGAAGGATTTTTCAAGCAAAATTATTTTCACACTCGTGACACAAGATTTGCCGTCGTCTTTCGTTACCCGTCCTGTTGCGTAAGTTCACTGGTGTCTCCTGGGTCCGTCCATTAGCAGACAAACAGGTTTATAAGACTTGTTTACTTTTTCCACCCTTGTTTCATTCAAAACTGAATGACTCAATAACGTCAGAGTCATCCGTTTAATTAATGTTTGAGAATTTAAAGATTTTTCGAATGTTTTTAATGAATAAAAATTAGGGTGGGGAAGTTCATAAAATTGGGGTCGTTGAAAATAAAAATATAAAGGGAATAATTAGCAGACAAATGCCAGATATGAAATCAAACCCATTCCACCCACCCCCCCCCCCCCCCAAAAAAGTAACCCGGCGTACTGCACCCATAATGATATTATTCGTAATAGCCAACAGAAGAGCGTTGGCGTCACCCAAGCAGTTGGTGTCACCTAGAAAATGCCAAACCAGTCGTTTGTTACAAAAATTTGACCTTCAGTTTCTCTAGTTAAAATGCCCCAACAACTGAAAACAATAATGCCATTTTTGTTTGTTACCAAAAAGACTTTGCGTAAGCCACTGATATTGTCTTTTCACAGGAAAGGTTTTCTCTTGAAAGTTAAAATGGCCTGTAGGTCACTTGCGATATATTAAAATTCAGCATGATAGCGTTTCTAAAAACAAACTAAATGAAACTATTATTCACCGAGGTGGAGGTGGCTAACGGTGGATATTTATCGAGCGGCGAGGTAAATACCCACCACTAGCCACCTCCACTTCGGTGTGAATAATTGTTATTTAGTATATACTAAAACAGTGAGATAATTAAGCACAAAAATGATGATTTTTTGGTCATTTTGCCAACGATCTCATTACAATTTTGGCACGCAATGACCGAACGGCCTTCGCGTTTTCTTGCCGACAAATAAAAACTTTTGAAGGCATTGCTTTACTAGCTCTTTCGGGTAAATTTCTTTGAAAAGGGTCTTGAATTCTCTTTGTATTAAAAACCATTCTGTAAAAAAGTTTTAAATTCAGTTTAAAGCTTATTTATGAACATATAAGCTAGATATAGTAACACAGGACTTAAGCTTAGTTTGCATTTGTAAACAAAAACCTTTTCCACCGGTGTTCCTTACCTTCTTCGTGTATTTCTGCAACAGCTTGTTTCATTATTTGTGAAATTTCTTTGTTTGTTAAAGCAAAAAAACGGAAAACCATTTTACTCGTAACTTACGCGAGTTTGGCGTCGCTCGTTCGGAGGAAACTCGGAGGTGAATCAGTGAATAGTGCTGGATATCCGACGGTAGAGTAGCCAATCAGCGCGCGAAAAACACTATCCACTGTTTTCGTACATACTAAACAGGTTTATTTATTTTCTTTGTTTGTTTCCTCTAATTAAGATTCATTATCGTACTGAATTTTACTATATCGAAAGTGGCCTACTTGACGGAACATCGACCCTGTCTACGCATGCGCAAGCTAAGAATGGCCAATGCCAAGAGAAGATTGGAAAATGACTTCTGGTGGAAACGTTTTTTACCGAGTTCTCTCCTTATCACTTCATGTAATGTATGGTACGTATGTTTACCTGTTCTACAACAAATATCCTGTAATCTAACTTCTGCTTCTTTAGCAAAGGATGCATATGTCGAAGAAAGACGGACAACTGCTCGAAACGATTGCGGAATGGGATAATGAATGCTACCTGTAGAGGAAACATAAGCAAAAGCTTCAGTATCAAATCAAGCGCGGTTCCTCCTTTAAGTAATGGTCCAGATAAGAAGGAAAGGACCAAAACGCAGTGAACACGTCGGAATGCAAAAAGGTGCTAACTTTACTATTGTCTCTACTAAGGTTCTGATTGGTTTAAACACCAAATTTTACCAAATCTTCGCAAAGCAGCGTGTACATTAATCCCTTTTTTTCTATCCAACTTCCTTATAACAAAATCTCGTCCGAGTCTAAGTAACACAGAAATCGTATGTGCGGATCATGTAAAATTGTGAACATTTCTTGGCCATTTTGTAAATTTATGCACTCGCTGCGTAAAAATGAAAACATTTCTATGTGAGGAAAGCGTATTGCGCCACAACAAAAGAAATTGCTTCCCTTCTTACCAGGATCATTACTTAAAGACCATTGGTAACCAAGCCTTTAGACATTGTAGGTGTAGTATATTCTCTGGATTAAGTTACAACAGGAGCTAATTACTCCTGGTCACAACGAGGAAAACTATACATTTTTGAATAACCTTATAAAGAACGTAGTCTAGCCTCACGTTCAATTTACGTAGAAGTTTAGGGAAAGGCCTAGGGTGACATGTGGCACATGTATCAGATATGAAAGACGATTTACTGAAATATGTACTTAAAGTTTTCGGAGTGGTATTGAAATGGCGCAGGAGAGATATTATCATACGAAAAACCGGGATTCGATTCTGGGTTGTGAACTTCTTTCTTAGAAAAGACTTTTAAATATGATGGGTCAAAATTTTCTACGTGTCTTAAGAGTAGCAACGACCTTTTACGACAGTGAAATCAGCCTAGGCGTTTCTGTGGCCTGGAGCCCTTACGTAAGCCTTCAAACTCGTCCCCAGACCCTAGGGCTTATCCCTGAGAAAATAGAACAGGAGGAGCCCTGGGGACGAGGCTGGTAAGCCTTAGCCTTAATCCCAGTTAATTGAGTTGCAGTGGTAACTAATCATGGCCAGATCTAAAAATAAAACATCAATGTCGCAAGGAGCTGCATACGCTCAAGCAATGCCATTAGATTAGCGATCCCGACCGAAAACAACACTTTCCAAGATAATGCGTCGAAGCTATTTAACTGAGTCTACCATAATTTATTAGTAACTGTACTGAGATTACAGAACCTTTTAAAAACTTTCAAGGAAACTTTTATGTAATAGAGTACAGAGTGATTAGTTAATTTTACATTAACTTCAAATATGTTAGTCAGTAATGCTTCTACTTTTTTTATACATCACTCTTGTTTTTTAATTGTGAATAACGTAATTTTATTTATTTTTAATGTAAGTTAACAGAAAAGAAAGTGGATCTGTTAAATAAACCATTATTATCCTCATTATTATTATTATTATTAATTTATTAATTATTATTATTATCATCATCATCATCACGGACTAGTGCTAATAACCCTTCTCACAACCCGCTCCTGGGTGATATATTATGGCTCACCTTGACCTTCGCTTCACACTCTGTCGGCCTCCATATTCCGCCATTGCTGACCCAGCCGTCAAAATCCCGAGAAATTTGCCTTTCAATATCATCCATTTTTGGTATTGACAAATCCAGAGGTATAGGTCCAGCTGACAAAAATGAACAATGGTCATGTATTTTCTGATTGTAAAATTCAATACAGCTAGTCGAACCTCCATGTGCGACCATCTTTGGCAGCGCGTGCTTCCTTAAATGCTTTTTGTTAGAAAATATCTGTAAAGATTTTTCAGTATGATTTTATGAATTTAGTTTTACTAAAAAATCTTAGCTTAAGCTGAAATCTTAAATCTTAATCTTTCGTGATAAAACACTTGATAAAACTTACCCAAAAGGGAACTATTTTCTTGGCATTCTTCTTTTAAAGCAACTTCGGGTTGGCTTTGCTTTAGGCCGCGATCTGTTTGGTCATAACTTCTGTCTATTAACTCCTTTAATTGGGCTTGCGTCGTTGAAATATTCAAAGTCCGCGATTTATTAAAGGAATCCAAAGCTGTAGGTGAAAAGGCTGCTGGGACGGAAACTGCATTATTGCACAATCCTTTTTTAGCTCGCGTTAAGTGTTCTGTTGAGCTGAAGACGTAGTAATCATAAAAAACCATTCCGACGTATAAAGCAAAAGCCAAGATCGATACCAGGAACAATTTTTTTGTTAGTCTGTGCAATGAAGTCATTTCTCAGTCTAAAGGAAAACAAATTCTGATGAATACAAAATATTTGATAGGGAGACAGCTTTCGTGCTCTTGGTGTATTTCATTTCTCCCACTTTCTTTGAGGAAAAAAGGGGAATGTATACAAAGTTAATTTAAGTAACGGGCAGCGCAGCTGAGAAATCTGGAGTTTTCGCCGGGATTTCGAGTCGACTGAATGGTTTCGTATCTTGAACAAAATAAATTGCCTTGAGGTTCAGTAGCCGGCGAGTACGTAAGCTCTCCGGGGCGCTCTGGCGGCGGGGCTGGAAAAGGAAGGAGAGCTTGCAACTACGTCTCTGGAATTTGAATTTCTGCATCAAAAATGTCGTGCGAAATGCTGATTGGCGCGGAGATGACATTAGTATTGACGTCATTACTGTTGGCACGTGTTTTTCAATAGAGAGATAAAGATTCACGTTTACGCCATACGGCAAACGTAAATTTGTACCACGTGACCAAGTTTTCCCATTATTTTTCGCTTACTGTTTATGGCTTCTACATAAAAATAAAACGTTTTATGCCAGTTTTACCAATAAGCATCGTTCTGGACTGTTTTTATCTGCTTATTTTCCATTCTGAGAAATTCTCAACTGACGTTTGCTGTTTGCCGTTTGCTGTAAACGTGAATCTTAATCTCTCTGCGCTCTTTTCCGCTTCGCGCTGATTGGTGGGAATCTAACAGCTCAGTCGATAGGGAGCCACGGGGGAATTGGAGATGGAATTCAAATTCTAGAGCCCGGGGGGAGGGGAAGCTTTATGGGTATGTGCCACCTCATCGGGTAGGGTTTTGGTCTGAAAACCGGTATAAACCTTACCCATTTAGGTTTGGAATCGGGTATGGTTTTTGAGGAAACTACGGGAGTGTATGAAAGTATTCATCGTTTCAATTCCAAATGAGTAAGAAAGAGAGACAAATATGCGAATTCGAAATGGATTTGAAGAATTCTTTTTTTTTTTTTTTTTTGCGTTCTAATCTACGTAATGATAACATAATTTCTGCTTAAAGGCCAGGTCTGCATAAACAGATATGGATTTTAGAGGTCTGGTCTGAAAACGGGAGTGGAAAATTACATTTTTTGGTCTGAAATAGGGTCGGGATTTGAAGGACCGGGCGGCACACCCCCACCAAGTATTCACAGGAGTACCCCCCTTGCCAAGCTCTCCTACCTCAGTTCCTGCCCCGCCGCCAGAGCGCCCCGGAGCCTCTTGCTCGCAGGTTAAGGTTCAGGGATGGATAAAACATTTCTTTTACTCCCCTAAGCCTCGGCAGCCAAGGAAGAATTTAATATATCCGCGAAGTTATTTATCAATACATATACTTCGTTTCTCATACAATACTTCTTTGAAGTAAAAACGTGATTCAAATAAAACAAGTTTCCGTTTCAAAGACATTTCAAGTATCAGGTTTGAGTTTGAGTTTCAGTTGGCGTTTTTAAAAGAATCAAGTTTTATTAAGGGTATAAAAGTTAGCTTCATCGTAAAGACTTTTATTGGGAAACAAAGGCTACTTTAAAAAGCCTCTTAGCAACCACGTGACCCTCCAAGCAAACGTGGCAGCGTTCACCTGACCATACCTTACGGTTCCAATATTTTGTACACGTTGAAGCCATACTCGATAAAATAAAAATATATATATACTAGAATAAAGAACGGGAACACATGAATTGGTAATTTTCGAAATATTTTATCCTACAAATAATAGAGATCAATAGAGTGTTATCCGAATCAGAGGCAGTTAGCAGGGATTATCGTGCATTTCAAGGGGAACTTGAGCGAGCACCCTGAAAGCAGAATATCTCTCTACATTAGAATTGGAATCACTGTGGCGAGGGTATTTTCACATGTATGACCTCTCGGACTTCAGATGACTTCACATATACACCTTGTTTCAGCGATGGCTGCAGGCACAGCTCTGAGAGGCGGCTACGGTATTCGAAGGCTATTACGAGTTTATTAAGTATGCGTTTAACAAATAATAAATTCAACGGCGACATTGCCAGGTCACGCTTTTGAAACATTCCGTGTACATCAGCAAATTTTCTCACCTTTCGTCCGGAGCTAAATAGTACTGATGATCTGTTAAAATAGTCTGCTAGATATTTTAGCATTAATGTGATGAATGACTTTACACTGAGTGCGCCGTGTTAGTTCAGAGTTCAGTGCCATCATCCGGAGCTTAAAAGAATAGAATTTAAGAAGAAGGACGAGTTTCAAATGAACTCAAGTCGAAGATGAAGTTAAGTGTCTTGCCTCGACGCCGCATTTTCAGCTCTTTCGTGTAAACGAATATTTGGCCACTATAATTCTTTTTTTTTTTTTCACCACGATTGGTCTGTGTACAGCGAGAGATTTTACTTTGTATGCATCGATCCCTCCTGTTACGGCTAAATTTAATTCACATCGATGGAGAACGAAAGGCTAAATCATTTCTTTTAGGATGATAAATTAGAAAGTTATATACCTTTTTTGGTAAGTTCTTTGGACAGCACAGTCTGGAACTTGGAGGCTTATCTGTCATAACCCTTGTGTTTCCGGCCGTTATTGTAATGTGCCTTCAGGCGATCTGTGACAGGTTTTTGTTGTTTCTTGTATTTTAATTTTAATAATAACAACTACTTAAATTTATACGCAAGCTACGTTGACTTCACTTCACTTGCCAAACAATGCTTTTTGCGTCCTAAACCATGAAGCCAAGCGATCGATTTATTATCTTTCTAATCAAAAAATTGTCCGCTTTATTTCTTGGGCTTTCTGCAGTCTTCTTAATCAAGGATCGCAAATAAGCATCGTTAAAGAAATTTACAAAGTATAATTTAAAATAATTTGTTGCATTGATTGATATTGCTTAGCTACGAAAACTTTCTTCCAAACACGTAGTATAATTTTATGTGGTGGTGAAGTTTCCAATCTTTCAAAAAATTTTGCGATCACAAACCTTCTTGGATGGCATGACTGAGTTTAACTAATAGTCGCGGGTCGCGGGTCGCGGGTCCAAAGTCGCGGTCGCGGGTCCAATGTCGCGGCAGGGGAAAATGATTTGGGGTTCGAGGTAACTGAGTGAAAACGAGTGATATGAAAAAAATATAGAGGGAAAAAAATCGTTTTTATGCATGATACTCTACGGTAGCCAATTTACAGGTTACGGATGTTAGAGTCAACAAAATAATGTCTCAAGAAAAGACGTAAAAGAAAAAGCTGGCCGACTTTTGTGTTCACCGCAAGTTCATTTTGTTTTCTTTCTATCGGACCCTGTTATGTATAAATTCAGCTTTGAATGTACTTATGCATAACAGTATCTGATAAAAAATGTTACCATGAGTTACCATTGTTTTTCTTCTTGTCTATGAATTGCTCACAAATACACTGAAAAATGTGCGATACACTTCATAGACTATAAATTATATAGGTTACAACAACTTAAAACCTTTTTTAAAAAGGGCTAACTCGGGCTCGAAAAGCTACGAGTCTGTCGGTAGAAGAAACGAGAACTGTTTAAATTTTAACAAATGTTTTCGGCAAAAATAAAGAAAACGCTTGTTGAAAAACTTCCTGGTCGCAAACTCCCAAAATGAACTCTTTGCACAAGTAACTGGAAAGAGGAGGAGAGACGTTGGGCTTGAGGTTCCAGTAAAGTTCATTCAAGCGGGTATTCAAGGCATGAATTTAATATAGAAACAAGTAATAATCCACAGCAAGAGGGGATAAAGCTCGAGCTTTACCCTCTCTTGTCCACAGAAAGGAGTTTGTTCCCACTAACGATTGAAATCCGGAATCCAAATTCTACCAAGACAGAATAGATCATAGTCTCTTGGTTCTACTGATAAAGACTTTGAATCCAGTACCTGGTAAATTTTATTGTTATTGTTATTGTTATTTACGATGCATGTCTTCAAGATTTGACTGAGACGCACATTGAATGGCGTCGTATTGTCAGGTTGTCCTGGTTGCCATTTAGGTGAAGAGAACAAGAAGTTATATTGAACACTCTGGGTTGCCGTCTCAGTTGTAAAAAGAAAAGCATTAAGCGAAAATCTTGCTTCGAGGAACAGACTCCTTTCTGTGGATTATAACTTGTTTCCATATTAAATTCATGCCTTGAATACCGTTTGAATGAAGTTTCATGCGCCTATTTACATTTTCTTTCAGTTTTGTCGAAAACATTTGTTAAATATAAGAGTTCTCGTTTCTTCTACCGACAGACTCGTAGCTTTTTGAGCCCGAGTTCGCTTTTTTTTAAAAAAGGCTTTAAGTTGTTGTAACGTTTATAATCTGTAGTCTATGAAGTGTATCGCATATTTTTCAGTAAATGAACCCCTAAGCATTTGTGAGCAATTCATCGACAAGAAAAAAGCAATGGTAACTTATGGTAACTTTTTTATCAGATACTTTTATGCATAAGTATAACTGGGCCCGATAGAAAGAAAACAAAATAAACTTGCGGTGAACACAGAAGTTTTAGGTCTTTTCTTGAGACATTATTTTGTTGACTCTAACATCCGTAACCTGTAAATTGGCTACCGTGGAGTATCGTGCATAAAAAAGAGTTTTTCCCTTTATATTGTGTTCATATCAGACATTTTCACTCAGCTGTTACCTCCAACCCCAAATCATTTTCCCCTGCCGCAGCATATCGCATTGGACCCGCGACCCGCGACCCGCGACTATTAGTCAAACTCGGCATGACTAAAACCCAGAACAACACCCCTAAACAACACGATCAAAACAACACGGCAAAAAAAAACTGTTCATTGGCAAAATGAAAAAGATAAATAGAAACCATTACTCTGATTTAAAACATTAAATTTTCTTTCTATTTGCTGGGTTGCTCATGCGTTCCGTGTCAGTCCTGGCTTGGTTCAAGCTTTCTTCTAATTCGGAAATAAAACTCGATCGCCTATATGATGTTTTTTCATGCTCTTCTTCAACTGCTTAGGTTCAAGTCAGATCGTATCTGTTCATTCTACTGAGAAGATTACGTTCACTTAGGCTTTATCCGCAGTTCAAAATATGATTAATTCCATTCATTTCTAATCATGTCATTTCCACCATCGGGTATGTTACAGATATTAGATCCGGGTTCTTTGTGGAAATAAATTTGAAAAGAAAGACACTCAAGAACGGGAAGTTTGTCTGCGAACCCTATTCCTTTAATGAGGACACGTACACTTAATAAAATTTTCAGAGACTTATGGGAATTAAAAAGTCCTATGTTACCGCTTAAACCTTGTTATGTATCCTTAAAAGAAAATTTCAGTTCTTTATAAAGTTTTAGATAACATCTATTAATTAACGTACAAATTTAATCTCGTGGCCTATCTCAAACCATCGCCCCTCTCACCTCTGTGGACAACCCACGGTTTGAGGGCAGCGATTCGCACAAAGAGTCGCCTTTTTTGAAATGTGGGCTAACATTTCTCTTAAATTTCTCAAAAATTCGTGTGTTCAAGACTTTCTTGGTCGGAGGAGTTGAAACTAACCCTGTAATGGGCTAAAACGGTCTACTTTTTACCTGCCAGATTTGGTGGCAAATTGAAAGCAATGCTGAATTTTTGCGATTTTTTTTCTTCGCCTCATTCCTGTAGGGAAGGTCGAGGCGCACGTGAAGTGTTATGGCGGACGGGCGACATATGAGTAGGCTCTGTAATATCGATGTTAAGGGTGAAGTCCCAGAGGCTTAGACAGGAAAATGTAAGGCTGAAGGATCAAATCCAAGCTTTATCCAAAGAGGTTGGGCAAATGAAACTTTTGCTTCAACAGAATTCCATGCAATTAGCGGGTGAACCACCAACTGACACGAACTTCACTCCCCGGGGGGTACTCCCTTATAAGGGCTTAATGGGAACGTACGGCCAGCCAGGGTATGTTTTTCGGGATTTTTGTCTTAAACAGGGTATTGATTTTATCAATTTTTGTCTTAAACAAGGTATCTTTTCTTAGACAGGAGCCCATAACCCTGTTCTTAGACGATAAAGAGCCTGCGCTTACGTTCTACGAATGTCTTAAACTGGGTATCAAAAATCGGAATTCTGTCTTAAACAGCGTAGGAAAATCAGCGATTTTTGTCTTAAACAGGGTCAGGGTATGAGGGGCCAGCCCCACCCCCCCCCCCAAGGATATATCGAGTACCCCCCCCCGGGCGTCACTCCGAGTCGTGAAGGTGTGAGCTTAGGCTTCGTTTTTAAGCGATCAGCGCGATGAATTGATTTTGTTCAAAACAAATGCAATGGCCGAACTAGAGCGACTCGGTAAGAAGATTGAAGCTGTTAATGAAAAAGTAAAAAACATCAATAAAGCAATAGAAAGCATAGAAAATTACAGCTACCAATGTAATATAAAACTTGTTGGATTCCCTTAACTCTAAGAACATGAATCAGCAACTGTCACCGCGAAACTATGCCTCGAAATCTTTAAAGCCATCGGTGCAAGATATGGATATCGCTCACCGTGTCCAATACCGACGAGAAGTGGAAAGTATTTCTCCCTCTACTCTGGGTTACAGTTCGGAACCTTCTTTGGCGCAAGCCAAGATTTATGATCACTGAACACCAAGGTTAGAGCACCTTTTATCAGAAGCAAATAAATTCAAGACAGCGCATCAATTTCAGTAGTGTTGGGCGAAAAATGGCCAAATTCTACTTCGTTAGACGCACGAATCTAGAGTGATCAAGCTGTTGAAGTCAATAGAAGACTTGAGCAGGCTAACGAATAGTCTGGAACTTGAGTGAGATTATCTAGCTGAGCTGAGTACCTGATATTATTATTTATTCTGATAAATCTAGTTAAATCTAGAAAAGATGTCTTCCTCTCAAAAAATGCAGCTCCAGTTTGACTTTCGATTGAGCAAAGCCCTAAAGGAGCACTCAAAACAAATATGTAGAACAAATTATGCTACTGCACAAATGCCAAGTCTCATTATAATTACCTAAGAGTGAAATCTGATTTAAGGTATTCAGAACTACCTAAGATGTCCCCACCCTCATAAGCACATTTAACCAAGTCCCAAGTGTAGCAAATGAGAGACTGGCGAATAAAGCATGGTCAAAGTGTTGCGCAAAAAATGGTGAGGAACATGACTACAAAAGACAACCCACGTACTCTACCGATGAATCTCTATTTAACAGAGCGGCCTAAAAGTCAGCCATTTGATTTCGGGAAGATTGGAGAGGTCCAAGGAGAAACTACAGAAACAGTAGTTACTGCAAGCGGAAGGGAGAGTGGACGAAAGGAGGGGTCAAGTGAACTTGTCCAGTCGTCTGGTGACATTGTCTATCTTGCCTCAGATATATCATCTTGCAAAATGAAATTGTACGTATTGCAGCAAGATGTAACTACTGCTACCAAAAAAGCAAGGACAATGTGCTCAGTTTGATGTCAATGTGTTCAATCGGTTAACTTTCACAAAAGAGGCGGAAAGGGAAATCAGTGTTAAGGTTATATGCGGTTCTTTGAAAGAAAGCTTCGTTAATGACAAAATTATTGAAATGACTAATGAACGAATTTATACATTATCAATCTCACATGATCGGTCAGGTAGAATCAGTCACCAT